TATATATATATATATGGACAACTATATTTGGGTATTATGGGGTAATCTTCATCCCTGTAATACCAGCAATTTTGTTGTTGTTGTTGCTGTTCTGTTTTGTTTTGTTTTATGCTTTTAGCAGTCTGAAGTCATGATTTTTAGTTTCTGTCTCTAGTGATAAGTGAAAAAGAGGGATGAGGAAGGGGATTTACTGGCCCAACCAGAAACAGAAACTAATAACAAATGACTGTATTCTCTCCCTTGGATACCCCTGCAGGGCCTAAGGTAATTGTCCTTTCCATTGTATTCCTGTTACCACTAGCAGAGCAAGCCAACTATGCAGTGGGATAAGCAATTCCTTGCAGAGAGACAGTTAGCACTGCAGAGGCACAGATTAGGTCCCACAGCTAGTAAGTGTTGTTAAGTCCAGGATTCAAATGCAAGACTCTGAATCTAGAGCCTGTGTTCTGAACTCTTATGATATATACCTTCTCTGAATGCAGTGGTGATAGACAGACACGTCTTTGCCTCAGGCTTCTTTTCACCAAAAGTAAGGAGGCAAGTGTTAGGCAAATTCTTCCCCCTTATTAATTCTTATAGAATTATCTTCCTTTGGCCGGGTGTGGTGGCTCACACCTGTAATCCCAGCACTTTGGGAGGCCGAGGCAGGTGGATCATGAGGTCGGGAGTTCGAGACCAGCCTGACAAACATGGTGAAATACTGTCACTACTAAAAATACAAAAATTAGCTGGGCGTGGTGGCACATGCCTGTAATCCCAGCTACTCAGGAGGCTGAGGCAGGAGGAATCCGGGAGGCAGAGGTTGCAGTGAGCCGAGATCACGCCACTGCACTCCAGCCTGGGTGACAAAGGGAGAATCTGTCTCAAAAAAAAAAGAAAAAAAGTTGTCTTTCTAAAACTCTTCATCCATCCACCCATCCATCCATCCACACTCACTCATCCATACATGCTTTCCACTCATCCATCCATCCATCCCTCCACTCATCCAACCATCCATCCATCATCCCTCTATTCAGTCATCAATCCATCATCCCTCCACTCATCCATTCACCCATTAATCTATCCCTCCATCCATCACTCCACTCATCCATACATCCTTTTATCTACCCATCCGTCTATCCACATAGCCACCCATCCACCCATCCATTCATCCATCATCCCTCTACGCATCCATCAATTCATCATCTCTCCACTCATCTATTTATCCATCATCCCTCTACTCATTCATCAATCCATTATCCCTGCACTCATCTGTCCATCCAACCATCCATCTACTCATCTATCTATTCTTCCATATACTTATTTACTTCCTGACCACCACCACCCCCAAAAATGTAGCAATTCCTTTTAGTAACAGCTGCTTCGATATCATCATGAGATTAATCAAGGTGACTAATTTCAGAGAAAGCTTTGAGAATCAGAAACTTAAAGATTGGCATTGGGTGTCATTGAGAAAACAGCAGACAGATGTTAACATGAGCTCTGCTGTTCTGAGTGGTATTTTCCTGGAAGTCTGTCAAGGAGTTTTCCAACTAAAATTAACTTTGTGACATCTGAGCCAGGAACACAAGCTGTGCTTCATTCCCAGCCCTCATGCATGTGCCTGCGTGCATGTGTGTGAGTGCCACTGTGTGCCTATGCCCGTGTGCACATGCTTCTGTGTGCCTACATGCTTATGTGTGTAGATTGGTATGCATATGCCTGGTGTATGTGTATGTGTGCATGCGTCTGAGTGTTGGGGATGAGATCAGGTATAGTAAATATTTTGGGGAATAGTAAGAAAAGGCAGCATTGTATTAATTGGCACATCGTTCACAAGAATTTAAACACCATGTAGCTCACTTTACAGAACTCAAACATGCTTTCTGAATTGCACTGAATTGAAGGAAGAAGCACACCTTTGCCAGGATTACTCCAGGGAATCTAGTCATTCAGTCACCAGCAAAGGTGGAGTGGATTCTTTATAATGTGCCTGTCTTTAGTTATCCAGGTAATCACAATGAATGACAGATGAAATGGCAAAGAGAAGGCCTGACTATTTCTGAGGCTGACTCTGTAGGCTATATTTTGAAGTGTCTACCTTTCTAGAAATGGCTCCATTTCTCCCCAGGCACTCCATTCTTTGAACTCCATTAATAGGCTTTTTTGTCTTCTGGCTTTCAGTTGCATTTGGTCAGCGGCGGTGGTGATGGGAGTAGCCATCGGGGAGGGGGACACAAACAGCAGGCTAGAAGGGGTATGGAGGAAAGTTAGGTTGGGTATTTATTCCCCTGGGTTCTTTATAAGGGTTACTTTAGGCTGGTTGCACCCCTTGACTGAAATGCATACTTCTATGTCAGCCCTTTGGGTATCTGCTACCTCTGCCTTCCCCTATCAAGCCTAGGATGGAAACAGGAACTGCCTTTATCAGCTCTGGCCTCTTGCACTGTCTCCCGTGATCTTCCTACCCCTTGCTCATGACTTTGTAATAATTCCATTTATTAGCCTTAACTTGTCCCAATTTTCTGCCAAGGTGTCTCTGATACACAGACCAACTGAAGTAATGGGACCCTAAAGCAAGTCTAAACCCATCTGTGTGTGATTTTTCTCCATTGAAAGTTATATCATACCAGACTTCCTTGCCCACAAGAAAGTTGTCAAGGCACAATGAGAAAGTAGAAGAAGGGTTCTGGAAGGGTTAAAATAAAAAGGCAATTCAACAGTAAGATGCTAATGCACCTTATACAATGTCATCTCTGTATCTTTTCAGCTATAATAATAGGCAAGAGTAAAATGCTTAGTCACTCACTATCCCAGGAAAGTGGATCCTGTGCTTTCTGAGATGTTCATTAGGCAGCATCTTGCTTTCTACTGATAATTCAGCTGAGCATGAAAAATGTGTTGCACAAATTCCAAACTTCATCAGAACATCCCCACACATGGCTGGGTGCCCTCCATTCTGTGGACACAGATGTCCAGTTGCTGAGACAAATGAGTCACACTGGAAATCGGTAAGTGCCATAAAACCACACTTGACTTCCCGAGTGCAGCTTGCTTGGAATGCATGGTTTTTGACCAAACTCAAGGAAGAACTTTGCCGGGCATTCCAGGACACAGCCTCTTGTGGCTTAGGGTAAAACAGTCCTTGAGGTGCCTCAGCACCCAGCATCCACAACACTCCAGGATATACATTCCCATGGGGGCACCTCTCCATATCCTTCACCCTGGCCATGGGCTTGCCCAGTGAGGCACAGGGACATTTGAAGTCCTGGGTGAGCAAGCATGAGCACATGGGTTAGGCTGTCCTACCCTGTTTTCTCAGGCGATTGTTCCATACCCAGATTTTTCAGTACTGTGTGTGAATTGCCATACACCCCAAGTCTAGGTTCATCCATTTAATGAGATGCACCTCACTGGCTACAGCACTCACAGGTTTAAGCTAAGCAGCAAGAAAGTGTATAAGGTGGAGCAGATAGGTACTTTCTTGCCTGATGCATTCCATTCCTTTGATAAACAGAAACAAACAAACAAAAAAAAAACTGAAGGCCAGGATTAGGGCTGGAGAGCAAAGAGGAAGATCGAATTTTCTTGGACATTTCGCTGTGGAGTAGCAAGTAGAGCAGTAGGGAGCAGGAACATAGATATTTGGCACAAAGGAGGCTTTGACTTGCTAGTTACATTCTACAGAGTTTGGGGGGCTCTCTCTGGAAGGGTTCCAAGCTCAGGTAGCATGCTCTGCATATCAAGTTCTCCCTGGTCTTATGTCCTTCAGACTAGACTCGAATGTCTGATTGTGTCAGCAATGCCTCAAGGCAATGTCTTACCACCCATTTCACACTTAGTTTCTGGAATAGCCTCCTCACTTTATCTGTCTTTCCTCTCCTCCTTTACCATAGCAGTAGGGACCCGAGTAGGGACGATGCTCTGCGTCCCTGGTTCCCTCAGTTTTCTTGGAAGAGTCTGGTCTCTCCCCTGATAGAGTTTTAGGTTTGCCCTGACGATCTAGATGAAGTAAAGTGTGGTGACACTTCGCTGAATGCTCTGTCAGTGTGCCTAGAAATAGAGTCTCTATCAGGGTTGTTTGCTTCCTATCACACTCCAACTGGCAAGCAGGTGGATTTTCTCACTTGGCAGCTGGCTCCCATCTGCCCCCTGTCAGTCTGCAAATAATACCCAAGTTAAACGCGAACTTCTAGCAGTGATGTGCACAGCCACAAAAAAAATATGAATTCAAATATACACTTTTGAAAGGGACACCTTAGTTCAGTCATTTAAATTCATTATCTCAAAGATCAGTTTCACTAAAACTCCCACTTGTGCTAAACAGAAATCATGCTGACGTCAGGCACTTACCTCAATTCTCAGAAGTTGAGCAGGTCTAAGCCATCCCGTTCAACACACAATTCCCTTCAGTTTCCCTTACAAGACCTCAAACAAATGTCCAGGAACTGATTCAGGATATATGTTCTCCTTGGAAACCGGTTACTCAAGTTCTTGGTGGCTTAATACAAATACAGTAAACAAGGGACTTCCCAGGGGAGTCATTCAGTCAAAGCCAGCATGGGACCTGGTGACCTTCAGTGTCACAGACTTGGACTTCAGCACAATGAGTTCTTACAAAACAGAAAACACATGGATTAAAAGTCACAGACACATCCTGAAGATACTTCCCTTATTTATGTATTTTTTAACTTTTATTTTAGGTTTGGGGGTACATGTGAAAGTTTATTATATAGATAAACACGTCATGCGGGTTTGTCATACAGATTATTTCATCACCCGGGTATTAAACACAGTACCCAATAGTTATCTTTTCTGCTCCTCTTCCTCCTCCCTCATACCCCTACTTTCCTTATTTTAAGAAAACAATGCTGGTGATGTCCCTACAGCTCTTCCTAAAGGTAGATGAATGAACTACAGGGTTCTATTAAAGACCCTATGGGTCCAGACCTGTGTGTGTCAGTTCTAGTTTACTAATCCCTTACTGAACGCATTTGACAGGATCTTTGCTGTTAACAGGGGACAGAGCAAGGACATGTGACATGTGACTTCAGCTATAAAATAACACAGCAGCTCCCATCACCTGCTCCTCGGAGAGCACATGTAGGTCTACAGGAGCAAGGATGTAAGTCCCTTTCCCCTATGTCTCCCTGAATGACTCTCACTTGGCCATAATTTACAATGAGAGGGTATACATGCTCATGAAGGATGCATATCTTTGCCTCTGCCTACCCTGACACTGGCCCTGGCCCTGTGGACTAGAAAGTCTTTTGTGAGATCCTGCAACTGTGTGATTTCCTTCCGTGTACCCAGGCTCTGAATCGGAGCGTAGACAGCGACCATCATTGGCCAGGGAGAGTCTAGAGGACATGTCATGGCTGTCTTTTTTGTCTCTCTTTTGTTAGATTCCTGATATCATTTATGGCCACAGGTCATTTTGCCGAAGAGGAGGAACCTGGGATCAAGTTCTGTGACTTCAAAGAAGAGTCATGTGTACAAAACTTTGGGAGACGATCACCACAGACAGGATTTGGAGACAGGAGCCTATTTGATCTTTTTCTTCTCCTTCTTAAAAGTAATAATATGAACATAAAACTATTTACAGCTTTAAACAAACCCGTAGTTCAGTACTGAAGCGTGCGTAACACATTCCTCTCAACTGAACAATACACAAGCAGGCATTCTGGAGATTTTATTGCACCAGATTGGTGTGATTATAAGAAGATTGGCAACGTCAGCTCCCTGGAAAAAGGCTTGACACAGGTTAACACTTTAATATGAATAACTTTTTCTCTAATTAAAAAAAGATTTCTTAATGTATTTTCTTTGCTTAATCTCCACTGTGTCTTGCTGTATCCAACCCTACATCTTTGTCTGTATTCACATGCGTATATTCAATCCTATATCTCAAATATAAAAATTATCTCCATCCCTTCTTGCCCTATTGTTGCCATGATTTGCAGAGCATCATTGTGCAGCTGTGGATGAATGGCCTTCCGGGGCTGTTTTCAACCTTATTTCCTTTTGCTGCTGGTTAGTTTGATGCCCTAGGTTTAAGTGTTGGGATATTTGTGGTTTGGAACTTCTAAGTTTCATGCTAGTTTTTTTAATGAAAAAAAAACTATGCTTGGGATATGCATTCTTATCTAAAGAACAAGAAATGTTCTTGTTGACCCTCATATGACCCTCAGGAACCAAATTCAGGCTCTGGGCATCCGGGATTAAGCTTCCTAAAAAGCTCTGCTTCATGGGCTGACAGTTACGTGCCTTTCACATGAAAATTTCCTCTGCTGCTGGAAGAAAATGCACAAGTACCAGAGGAAATGTCACTTCACATGATGCACAGGTGATGGAGAAAAAATGTGCATTTGTGTAAAGAAACAAACATTCCCAAATATGCCTGCCTCATTTGTGCTTCCTTAAGGGCAAAATGCCCTGTTGGGAAACAGACCTTTCCTAGTAGCATTTTCAATGACTCTCAGTCCTTCTCACATTTGGCTTTGACTGAATTCAGACTTTTCTTGTCAATTGAAAATGATAAATTTGACTTCTTGCAGGAAGACAAATGATCAGCCTGTGTCAAGCATATGAAGACCTAAGATTTCAGATGCACTGGAATCATCATGAAAAATTCATCCCGCACACCCAAATGGATGATCAAATGACCGTCATCCAGGGAAAGTCTGGGAGGTCTCATGCAGTGTGCAGGTATTCTGAAGAGCCATTAGCTTTTAGAATGTTGCAGCAGCACTTCTCTAGCTTTTCTTTGCTTCCCGGCTCTTCATGAGAATGGCCAACTACGTTCACCTCTGACTACCCTCTGTCCAGGAAAATCCAAGACCAACCTCGAGACAGATGTTTGTTCTTTTAGCTTTTATTTTTAGAGGCACATTGTCTGGGAGTGACATCTATTTACTGGTTATTCATTTTGCTTTCTGCTTCAGGGATGTTGATAAAAAGTGTGGATCTAAATAATTGCTTCCCCTCAGCCATCTCACAGAAGGTGTCCTGGTGCATTTTATATCCTGAGGGCAAATGAAAGCTATGTGTTCTGCTTGGCAACTGTTTTTTATGTTGATGCTCCTTTTTCAGCATATGAATGTGTGGAGAGGGTGACTGTTTATTATCTAGAGGTAGTGGTGGGGGCAGATAGGAGGGCAGATGTGGAGGGAGATGGGAGATTTCTAACTTTCCACTTCCATCTGTAATTTCTTTTAAACAGATACTCTGATTTTACATAAAGCAAAGCTCTTTGCATAACCAAATTGACTGCCTTTCTCAGATATTTTCCTGAATAGAATGTTTCCTAAGATGGGCTTAACTAATGATGGAAAGAATGTAATCCGTCTGTGAAAAACTTTTAATCTTCATGGAAAATAGGGGCTCTGTAAATTTCATTTACTTCTGCTTCACTTCCTTTCCATTCAAAAAATAATTGATTGCATGTGCATGAGAGAGAAGTCAACCAGACACTTTTTTGTTTTTTCACCGAATGCGTCATACACTGTTGGTGTCCACAAGTGATGGGATAGGGAGGTCACGGAAAAAATGAGGCTGACCCTTTCGGGAACTTTTGTGTTGATGATGACAGTCTTGTGAATAATACTGTAGATAAGGAAAGTAACAATCAATATTTTTGAGTTATTATTATGTGCAAGGTTGTTAGGGGAAGCTCTTTATTTGCATTTGATCATTTAGTTGGCCCAAAAATCATACAAAGTAGCTACTATTATTATCTTATGCCTACCACAAAACTCTAAATTTCACCTTTCAACAATGATTCTTCCCTAGGAGTTCCTCATCTCAGTAAATGGTCGTGCCAGTTACTAATTTGCTCTGACCTCAAACTTGGAAATGAGTCATCTCTTTCCCGTTGCCTGCCTGCCCCTCCCCCGATTTGACAACAAATTATTCCAAATTATTGGCAGCAAGTTCCTTAAATTGGCTTCTTTGATGTGATTCTTAAGTTACCTCTCAGACCTCACCTTCCCATCACTCTTCTCACTTCCTCAGCTACACTGGCTCTTCTATTCCTTAAATCTGTCAAGCTTGTTAGAAATCCATATTTAATCAAGTTCTTCCTTGTTGTTCAAATAACTTTAGTTTAAGCACCATCATCTCCAGCTTGGAATATGGAAATAGCCTCCTGATTTGTCTGCATGCTTTCTTTCTGGTTCTTTTATAAAGATCCAGCATGACAATGCGCCTTGAATCATGCGTCTAATCACATCACCCTCACTACCTTAAGCCTACAATGGCTTGGCTTTGCTCTTGGAAGAAACACATGGCTCCTAACGTGCCTTTGTGATCTGACCGCTGCCTGCCTATCAGATCTCCCATCACTGTCCTCCTCACTCACTATGTCCCAGGTTCACCAGCCCCTTTTCCCTCTCTCTTGAACATATCCCTGCTTTTTTCTGCCTCAGAGCTTTGTACTTACTGCTTCTTATCCTGGAAAAATCTTCCCCAGTCTTCACAGGATTGGCTATGCATCATGGTCATAATTTTACACTTGAAAGTAAAAAACAAATAGTAATCAACAAGGAATAACATGCTATCACATTCACCCACCACTGGGGAAGATTGAGACTTGAGTTTGGGAGGAGTTTGAATGACAGACAAAATAGCAGATTTTGAAGGGAGTGACTATAGATTTTGTATATTGGAGTTGGGATGAGCCCAAGTGTATAAGAACCTCTTTGGGAGGCAGAATGTGCATCTTCCTCTGATTTCACCATAAGCATTATAAACAAATTAAGTATTTATGTATTCATGTTGCCTCACCTACTCTGATGCCAGCACTGCATGGAAGAAAACTCTAGAGGGTGCAGAACTGGCAAGTCAATAGAATAGATGAATCAACTCTACTGACAAGGAAGCTGAGGCATAGAGAGGTCTTTTAAAGCTTGCTTACAGTGCAAGTTAATGCGCAGAGGCAGAACTTAAACCTAGAACTGACTTCAAAGGACCTGCTGCTCCTCTAATTATGTGCTGACCATGTCATTCTCATACCGTCCCTTTTCTACAGCATTTGATTTGAATCACATAACTGAGCACATGATTCAATATACTCTTTCCTAATGTTTCATGTATGCTTCATGATGATTTGTGTATGTTGTCATAATATTTTGCCTCATCTATACATTTATAAGCTCCTAAGTCCAAAGAATAATCTTTCGTAATTTTTGGCACACAGAAACCTTTGCTACTTAGGGAATCATATTTCTCTTGTATCTTTAGAGACAATCAGCCAAGTTGTTATTAAATCCTCACTGTAGATATACTACTATTTCATAGGCAAAGTGATACTATCGAAAATAGAGTTCTTAGGATACAAAGTTCAATCGAAACAGAGTATTGAGTTTCTCTGAATGAATTTGCATACTGTGATGGTTAATATTGAGTGTCAACTTGATTGGATTGAAGGATGCAAAGTATTGTTCCTAGGTATGTCTGTGAGGGTGTTGCCAAAGGAGATTAACATTTGAGTCAGTGGACTGGGACAGGCAGACCCACCCTCAATCTGGGTGGGCATCATCTAATCAGCTGCCAGTGTGGCTAGGATAAAGCAGGCAGGGAAAGATGGAAGAGCAGAGTTGCTGAGTCTTCCAGCCTCCATCTTTCTCCCATGCTAGATGGTTCCTGCCCTCGAACATCAGACTCCATGTTCTTCAGTTTTGTACACTTGGACTTACATCAGTGGTTTGCCAGGGGCTTTCAGGTCTTTGGCCACAGACTGAAGGCTGCACTGACAGCTTCCCTACTTTTGAGGTTTTGGGACTCAGACTGATCCACCATTGGCTTCCTTGCTCCTCAACTTGCAGACGGCCTACTATGAGACTTGACCTTGTGATCATGTGAGTGAGTTCTCCTTAATAAACTCCCTTTTGTATATATATATATATCCTGTTAGTTCTGTCCCTCCAGAGAACCCTGAATAACACACGTATGTACACACATACATTCATCCACTCTATTCTCAGATCCTTCATAAGGGAGTTTCTTAATGGAATCAGAATAAATCATCATTCATGTTACTACCTTTTTCAACTAGATGGGAAGCAGTTTAAAACAGAGTATAATATCAGAATTACGGTGGGAAATAGAGCAATTGGACTCCATTATCCGAACTCAACAAGTCTTTGTAGACTCATCCTCCTGGGTTGACTCAGATAACTGCTCATCTCAAATAATCTGTGATGAGAAATTTTTGCTAGTCATACTCAGTGAAGCTGTCTTGCCCCCACTGTCAGTGGGTGACTGGGTGGTGAATTACACAGTCAATGCTTTATTTTAACCAAGCGGTCATTTACTCACCAATATATTCATTAACTATTTATGAAATTCATATAGGCTTGTTTTGGCCATGAGAAATTCTGAAGTAGACACACTAGAAAATTCCTAGGCCCTTAAAGCATAAGTGTAAATAAGGGAGGTTTGACCCAGTGCTGACGTGGTAAGTCTTTTGAGCTTAGGGAACTTGGTCTTTAAGCTGGATGGGGCTCACCCATTTGAGTTGCAAAACTGATTTCTTATATAGCGGTATACGATTTTTCTGGCTACTGATATGACTGTGGCTATAAAAGGCAGCAAAGCTACAGTTCTCAGGTTTTCTGATACGGTATATGTCTCACTTTAGTGGCCTGTCAATACCACCAACTTTGGGCATACTATTGTAAGCTTCAAAGAGAATCAGTGGGAGCTGCATTCGTTCCCAGCACCCCTGCCTGATTTATGTCTTATGCAATGCTCATTAGCTGCTTTTGGAGTAAAACAAAGAAAAAGTAACCTTGAACTGAATCCACATTGCTATTCTCTCCCATCCTCTAATCTGAAACAGTCCTCTTGGTTTGACTCTTCTATGTGCTTGGAATGCAAAGATCACCTCGCTGGAGTCCCTTCCCCTAAGAAATCTTGAGATATCGATAAATAAAACACACACACACACACTCATCACACATACATAAAAATACATATAAGATGTCATGAGAGTACAAGGAGAGAGTAACTCATTCTCTTAGGGGTGGGTTGGGGGAAGAGTAGAAAAGAAGAGAAAGGGCATTTGAGAATTCTCCTTGACCTGAGTCTTGAAGATTGATAAGAAACTCTTCAGACTGTCTAGGAATGAATGACAACACAGGCAGAGGAAACAGGGTGTGAAAGACAGAGCCTCATGGAGTATAACATGTTCAACCTGTGGTTGTAGGACGTTGGTTGACACCTAGGATAAATGAAGTTCCCCAGAAAGATAGAAGGCAGTTAGAACTCACAAAGAAGAATGATTGGATACACTAACATTCAGTGAGATGAGAACCCTGAAAAACACTCAAAAGGAACATCTACAGGTATGGGGAGGACCAGCAAAGGGCAATATTGAAGAAGCCCAGGAAAGAGACATTGAGTGGAAGGCACCCATTGAGTTGACACTAGTTTTCTTGGCAGGATGGCAAGGTCAGAGTTCACAAAGTTATGAGGGCTGGGAGAAGCGAAAATGCAGACAACGATGTAGGCTAGTTGCTATAGTTTGCATATTTGACCCTCCTAACGTCATGTTGACATTTGATCCCCAGTGTTGGAGGTGGGGCCTAATGAGAGGTGTCTGGGTCATGGGAGTAGAAGCCTTATGAATGGTGTGGTGTCATCCTCACCATAATGAGTCAGTTCTTGCTCTATTTGTTCCTGCCAGTGCCTGTTGTGAAAAAGAGCCTGGCACCTCCCCAACCCCTTGCTTCCTTTCTCACCATGTGATCTCAGTATATGCTGGCTTTGCTTCACCTTCCACCATGAGAGGGCAGCCTGAGCTCCTCATTAGAAGCAGATGCTGGTGCCATGTTTCTTGTACAGCCTGCAGAACAGAACTGTTTGCCGAATAAGCCTGTCTTCTTTATCAATTACCCAGGCTCAGGTGTTCCTTTGGAGCAATGCAAATGGACTATGGCATTATTCTTGTAGAAGGCTACTTTTGCACAAGAAGTAGCCTTCAACTAAAAGAGAAGGATGGGATGATACCTAGAAAGGATGCATACAACACATGCCAATTCTTTACATTTAAAGAATTCCTGTGAGAAAGAAGTCAGAAAGGAGGACAAAGTTAAAGAAAAATGTAAAAAAAAAGTTGATTACTGGAGGGACACCAGGGAAGCACCAAGTTTTGGTGGAGGACTGAGCTGGAGGGGAGGGGATTGAGGCTCCAAGACAGAACTGAAGGAGGTAAACACAGGTGAAGTTGAAAACAATGGAAGATGCTGAGGGTCCTGGCCTGCTGGCAGCTATTTTATATGCCAAGGAGGAAGTAGAATAAGGATTATCTTAAGATTTTCAGACATCAGAAACAAATGGGAGAGTCTTCTGAAGGAAGAAGGGCAATGAAATAAGGCTAAGTCTGGCCCTGGAGATGAACAAGATTTTGTACCTTTCAAGTGAGGAAGAAGGAAGACCGAAAGGATCACCTCTCCTGATAAATCCTCTACTTTCCAGGGGAGAAAAGCAGGGTCTAGACTGACTTTGCCAATTGGACTATTTTCTGACAAACTTGAGTACCTTTGGTGCCTTTATTCACGAAGTTTTACATTTGAATAATTCAAATACATGATAAAATATTTGGTTTTTAAAATACAGTATCACAGGAAATGTAATCAACCATAAAAAATAGACTTTAAGATAGAGCCATGAGTAAAAATTACTTACAAATGTAATTGAAGGGACAAAGTACAACAGAAAGCACACAAAGGCTTATTTTTACCTATCCAGCAAAGCTTTGGTAGATTTGTGCTTTCAATACTACATATTTTACTTCTCATTGCAACTGATATTCATGAAATGCAGTGATACCAGGATAACAGCAAATTTAAAAAGATGAAGTATCTTTCCCTTAATTAATGTCTACAAAGAGATTTAATGATGAAAAGTGTCATTAACTGCCAAGTATTATTAATTATTTTTGCAGTAAGAGGCAGAGAGTCCTCATTATATTATATACTATTTTAAATATTATAAAATATTTTCAAAATAAGTTTAAAAATTATAAACAAGCCAAATAAAAAGGCATTTTTGTTTCTAGGTGAAATAAAGATCAAAATACAAAGGAAAACTCATTTACATCACACACAAGGAGCCTTCAAAATACACCCCCAAAGATACCCGGCGCTCTGTTCTTTTTCTATATTCCTTGTATGTCTGCAATTTGCATAAACTGAAGCAAGTTTCTACTTACACTTTGACACAAATGTTAATCCTGTCTGCTGGCAAACACACACTGGGATCTTACCTGTCTCAACTCTGTCTACTCACCTTCTGTGGGGCTGTTCCCCGTGAACTGGGGTTCTGAACCAGCTTCTAAAATTCCCTGGTTTTAGTGGGGAAAAATCTCAGAACCATTTGTAACCTCTGGGTCAGGTCTATTTCGGAGTCAATCTCCATTGCAGTTCCAGGTTGGTCTAGACTTAACAGCCCAACACTTATTTAATTGAACACTTATTTTATGCCATGTATTATGCAAGCTCCTGCTCCCGAGCTATATACATTGTTGACCAGATAACTTTACTTCCCTAATTACTATTTTATTGTAGGCCATGCTTTAAATTTTCTTGTGAGAGAGGGTCAAAGTAGGAGACCAGCTGGCAGGAGAAAATATTGAACTTTTCATTTTTTTCTCTCCTTTATAAAAATATATATTTTTAATTTAATAGGGTTTTGGGAAACAGGTGGTGTTTGGTCACGTGAATAAGTTCTTTAGTGATGATTTCTGAGATTTTGGTGTACCCATCACCCAAGCAGTGTACACTCTACCCAATGTATCACCTTTTATCTCACCCTTCTCCCTGAGTCCCCAAAGTCCATTGTATCATTCTCATGCCTTTGCATCCTCATAGCTCAGCTCCCAATTATGAGTGAGAACATATAATGTTTGCTTTTTCCATTCCTGAGTTACTTCACTTCAAATAATAGTCTCCAATTCCATCCAGGTTGGACTTTTCATTTTTTATGTTTCTCCGAATGCCTATCAACTCTAACCATTTATGGAATTAACTTGGCTACTCAAGGGATCAGATGTGTTTCTGGGGTTGCATCCCCATTGTTCCTGCATTTAGCTTCCTGGCCGGCTGGTTGTTTGCTTGGATTCCGCCCAATGCAGATGGCAGCATCTCTACCTCAGAGGCGGATGACACATGGTTTACTAATCCTCCCTCCTCAAGTTGCAGCTTTGCTTCTAGAGCTGATTTTCTGGGAGTTCAAATAATTATGCTTCACCTGTGCTATGTATCCTTAATTACATTATTTTCTTAGTTATGCTTGATGACAAAGTTATCAAAATTCAACACACTCAAAACCAAAATAAAATCTGGGAGCAAAATGTCTTTTGCTGCATCACCACAGTAAGTTATAAAGAGGACACTGCACACATTTCCAGGAGGGGAAGTAACTAGACCCTTGGTTAAAACCACTCTGAGAGTTGGCTACTTTTGGAATAGGGAAAGTTCTAGAAAAACTATAGGTTCTCTTACGTATTAGTAAGTGTGCCCAGGGAATAACACCACATGAAGGCAGGGTGACAGGCAAGTGACAAGTGACGGAGAAAACATTCACAATAATGGTGCTTAGTGAAGCTGAAGGCAATTTCCACTTCTTAAAAATTGTTCCTTCTTCTTCCCTTTCTTCTCCACATCTTCCTCATCTCGTCTCCCTTTCCTTTCTCTTCCTCTATCTTTTCTTCCTTTTCTTCTGGCCTCCTCTTCCTTCTTCCTTTGCTTCTCTTCTTCTTTCATTTCCTTCTTTTCCCTCCTCTTTCTCCTGCTTTTTCTTTTGCTTATGCTTTTCCTCTTTCTTTTCTGCTTCCCACTTTCTCTTTTTTCCATCCTAGCATGCACTCAATCAATATTTCTTGACTTGATGAGTATGAAAGCTTTGATATATGTACCAGGTAGGGTTTAGAGACACATTTAAAGATACTGATGTTTTGATCAAAGATGCTGCCCTCCACTTTTTCTTTGACTGTGTCTGTGGAGTTTCAATGTGACTTGCTCACATCCGGACTATCTTGTATTAACATGAAGAGTTTTATTTCAAATATATAAGTAAATTTTCATTCAAGAAAGCACACTATAATATGGTGAGAGTCCTTACTATTTTCCAAGTGAAGCAGTTTTTCTACTCATGATTTGTTTGGGAGTTCTTATTGGCCAGGCAATCCTCAGAAACCTGACTCTAATTGTCACTTCTGTCTAATTTATTCTTACATATCCCATCACTGGAAAGTGACCAAACCTGCTAGAAAATTTCTCAGTATAGGAAATGGCAGTGTCTGCTTCAACTGATGAGTTATCAGAAATGGCTTTACATATAGGCAGCATGGAAGTATGATTTGAATAACATGATATAAGAGACATTGGGGCACTACTCGGTCTCTCACTGCTAATTACCCTTCCAAAATGTCTGGAATACCACTATGAAAAATTCGACTTTGGGGTCCCTCTCTCCGATTCAGTCTAGGCAAAATTTCCTGATAAAGTAACTCTTTCAAGGGCAACAGTGGCTCATTACCGTCTTTTCTCTCCAGGCACTGGAAAATTCCTACCTTCCTACAGAAGACGTGAAATTGAGGAAAAAAGAAGCAATACCAAGTTGCATTAGGAGCCACGAAAGCCAGGCTTTGCCAACTTTACAGTTTGGGGCAGGTTGGCTGTTAGCTGGAATGCCATCTGGGTACTGAGGACCTTGCCCATTAAACAGGAGCTCCTGTTTAATGTCTTGGTAAGAGGAAGCACCACAATCACTATGTTAGTGCTTCCAGGTCAAAGTATTTCCACTGTGATGACATTAGGGTGCAGTTCTCTGCAAAATAGTGCTGTTTTAAGCTGTCTAAGTGTGAGATTATGTATTACAACAGGGAGCATTTTTTTTTGCTTATTATCTTTTGTAAGACACCAAGGATGAAAGATACTTACTTCATCAAGGTAAGTGAGCTGTTTAGTGCCACTGAATATCTTACCCCTGTGGCTCACCATAGAAACCCAGCCTGGATATTTTATTGCCTTCTGTACAGATATATTGAAATGAGATGCTCATCACCACAGGTTTCTTGCCACTTTACATATCCATATTCACTCTCTGAGCTGGAGTTGTCTTCCTAAGGGTAATGTGAGAAGGATTTTCTTTCCAATATCCCCAGATTTATAGGGTTTCTATTTTACAAGACCTTATGGCACATATTTAGCTAGAGGCAGGTAAAACGAAAAAAGATAAAAAAAGTATAGAACCACCAGAGAAGAAAGGGATTGAAATATAAGCAGATGATTTGTAGTGTAGAAAGAAAAGTGGAACCTCTTTGTTGCTGATGGTCTAGTGATTGTAGCACAAATGTCTGTTTCTGTGGATTGAAGCAATGGCTCGTTTGTACTGAGAAAAGGTGCTTTAGATTAATTTTAGAAACTTCAATACTGCAATGTGCTAAATTTTAATTATTTCACTTCCTGCTTGGTATATTAATGTTGTGATTACCCTTGAAAGAGTATTACCGATGATTTATGCAAAACCCAGTCAGCTCCACAGCTCCATCAGTTTCAATTAAAACAAGCCACAGAGGAGGTGTGCTGCGGCCCTGGTGCCTGTGATCACCATTGCTCCCACAAGCAGGTACAGTCCGTTTACTTAAAGCATTACCTTTGGTTTTCATTCTGGAACCATCTCTTCCATGGCATAACTCACCAATGAGAAAGGAAACTGTAGAGATTTGGTCTGCTGGACTTGGATTCAGACTGAAATCATCCAGGGAAATGTATTTCATCTGTACTTCTCTGCTGATATAGGATATTCGGCGCCAACCCTTCCCTTTTTTGAACTGTTTGACGGCTGAACTGGCCAAAAGAAACTATTGAGCAGTTAGCATTTTCTGATTTCAATGAACGACATTTGGTCAGTCTCTGGGCACTGGGGTCATCTGGAGTTAATCATAAAGTATGCGCGTTCTCTAAAACGAAGCCCTGGCCTCGAAGCTCATTTATCTCAATGATTTCAACTATCCAGAGGTCATAGGGTTTTTCGTGGTGCGTCCCCAGCACCCAGTGGCTCTAATTACTAATTTGGCTGCACAGTTATTGAAATCTCCTTTCTACCTGGCAGCCCTTCCTAAATCTAGTCCAACAGTGTCGCTGAGTTTGCCTGCCAGGTCCAGGAGGGGCTCTTCTTTCTGAGTACCAGAGAGACAGGCAGCCAAACCTGATTTCAATGGCAGTTCCATTTTAATCACATTTGGAAATTCTTGACTACAGGCTTCTCATTTATAAAGTCCGAGGAGTCCCTACCTGCCAAGTGAGAGCTCTCTGGACAGCTTGCCAAGAGCAGAAACTGATTCCCGGCAAAGACAGGAAAACGCATGTGCTGTCCTCTTTTTTTCACAAGACAAAACGCTGGGACGGAATCGTAGAATCTTGGAGCTGGGAGACTGAAGCCTCCCCAGGGCTCATGCATGGTCTCCAGTGGACTCTTCTTTCCAAATTCATCCCCTGCACTCTCTTCTTCCTCAGTCTATACTGAGCAAACACACTTGAAGGTACCAAGAGCCTTCCTACCACATGGCCTTTGCCCTGGCTGGTCTCTCCATCCGAAAAGCTTTGCTCCTGTATGTTGAACGGTCAGGTTTGTTTGTCTGTTTGTTGTAATCCTTTAGGTCTGATATCATTTGGTTGTGTGTCCCCACCCAAATCTCATCTCAAATTGTAATCCCCATAGTCTCCACATGTTGAGAGAGGGACCAGATGGGAGGTGATTGCATCATGGGGGCGGTTTTCCCCATGCTGTTGTTGTGATAGTGAGTGAGTTCTCATGAGATCGGATGGTTTTAGAAAGCAGTTTTCCCTGCTCTTGCTTGCCCCCTCTCACCTGCTGCCATGTAAATTGTGCCTACTTCCCCTTCCACCATGCTTGTAAGTTTCCTGAGGCCTCCCCAGACATGCAAAACTTTGAGTCAATTAAACCTCTTTTCTTTATAAACTACCTAGTTTGGGGGAGTTGTTTGTAATAGTGTGAGAACGGACTAATTCAGCTAATCGGTATATAAAGATACTTGAAAATGTGGAAGGGACTTTGGAACTGGGTAACAGGCAGAGGTTGGAAAAGTTTGGAGGGCTCAGAAGAAACGGGGATGTGGGAGAGTTTGGACCTTCCTGGAGACTTGTTGAATGATTTTGACCAAAATGCTGATAATGATGTGTACAACGAAGTCCAAGCTGAGGTGGTCTCAGGTGGAGATGAGAAACTTCTTGGGAAGTGGAGCAAAGGTCACCCTTGCTACACTTTAGAAAAAAGACTGGTGGCATTTTGCCCCTGCACTAGAGATCTGTGGAACTTTGAACTTGAGACAGATGACTTAGGGTATCTGACAGAATAAATTTCTAAGCACCAAAGCATTCAAGAGTTTGTCTGGTTGATTTTGAAAGCATTCAGTGTTATGCATTCACAATGAGATGGTTTGAAATTGAAACTCATGTTTAAAAGAGAAGCAGAGTGTAAAAGTTTGGAAAATTTGCAGCCTGACCATGTAGTAGAAAAGCAAATCCCATTTTCTGGGGAGGAATTCAGGCCAGCTGCAGAAATTTGCATGAGTAATGAGTAGCCAAATGTTAAGAGCCAAGATGATGGGGAAAATGTCTCCTGGGCATGTCAGAGGTCCTCATGGCAGCCACTCCTGTCACAGGCCTGGATGCCTAGGAAGGACAGAACAAGTGGTTTTATGGGCAAGGCCCAGGGACCACTGCTCTGTGGAGCCTCAGGACATGGTGTCCTGCATCTCGTGGCTAAAAGGTGCCAAGGTACAGTTCAGGCCATTACTTCAGAGGGTGCAAGCTCCAAGCCTTGGCAGCTTTCAGGTGGTATTGGGCCTGTGGGTAAAGAATTGAGGCTTGGGAACCTCTGCCAACATTTCAGGGGATGTATAGAAGTGTCTGGATGTCTAGGCAGAAGTTTGCTTCAGGGGTAGAGCACTCATGGAGAACCTCTGCTAGGGCAGTGTGGAAGGAAAATGTGGGGTTGGAGCTCCCACACAGAGTCCCCATTGGGGAATGGCCTAGTGGATCTGTGAGAAGAGGGTCACTGTCCTCAGACCCCAGAATGATAGATCCACTAACAGTTTTCACTGTGCACCTGTAAAAGCTGCAGACACTCGACACCAGCCATGAAAGCAGCCTGGGCAGGAGGCTGTACCCTGCAAAGCTACAGGGAAAGTGATGCCCAAGGCTGTGGGAGTCAACTCTTTGTGTCAGTGTTCCCTAGATGTGAGATATAGAGTCGAAGGAGATCATTTTGGGGCTTTAAGATTTAATGACTGCCCTGCTTGATTTTGGCCTGGCATAGGGCCTGTAGACCCTTTGTTTTGGCCAATTTCTCGCATTTGGTTGTGAATATTTATCCAATGCCTGTACCCTCATTGTATCTTGGAAGTAACTAACTTATTTTTTATTTTACAGACTCATAGGTGGAAGGGACTTGACTTGTCCCAGATGAGGCCTTGGACTTGGAGTTTTGAGTTAATGCTGGAATGAATTAAGACTTTGGGGAACTGTTGGGAAGGCATGAGTGTGTTTTGAAATGTGAGGACATGAGATTTGGGAGGGGCTAGGGGCAGAATGATATGGTTTGACTCTGTGTCCCCACCCAAATCTCATCTCAAATTGTAATCCCCATAATCCTCACATGTCAAGGGAGGGACCAGATAGGAAGTGATTGGATCATGGGGGTGGTTTCTCTTTTGTGATGGTGAGTGAGTTTTCATGAGATCTGATGGTTTTATAAGACAGTTTTCTCTGCTCTTGCTGGCTCTCTCTTGCTTGCCACCATGTAAGATGTGCCTACTTCCCTTTTTACCATGATTGTAAGTTTCCTGAAGCCTCCCAGCCATGTGGAACTGTGAGTCAATTAAACCTCTTTTCTTTATAAATTACCCAGTCTGGGGAATGTCTTGATGGCAGTATGAAAATGGACTAATACAAGATTTGTACTCAAATGTTTCTTCCTTAGAAGCCTTTGACCACCATATTATTCTCTACCACTAATTGTTTATTTCCTCGATGGTACATACCTTGGTTTGCAAGTTTACCTCTGTGCTGTCTGACCCTCCTGCTACAGTGTGGAGGAATTTTTCAGGAAGGCTCATTTGCCATGATGTGTCCAGCATTGAGCACAGAGCTGGGATGACAGTGTTACCATTTTTGTTCTCTATGTTCATGAAAGTGATCCCTTATGTTTCAATCTTGTTATAATTCCCATTCCTACTCATTCAACAGGTATTTATATATTTGCTACTATATGAACCATTCACTAAAAGGCACTTTTCAAGACAGATTCTGATTGATACTTCTTGTGGAGGGTAAGGGCAGCTTGGTTTGCTCTGTGTAGACTTGGATTTGAGATCTACTATGCTCATATCAGGGGTTACCATTTGTTCTCAAAAAGAAGGGAAGTGTGGTTAATTAGTGTGATAATGGTTAAAGCGGTCTGTCACCGCTTTCCTGGACAAGCTGTCATGCTGTATTCTGGTGAGTACCACCCTCTGCCTTGGGATAATGAGGCCAGGAAAGCCACTGGCAAGTGGAGTTGACAAGTTAGGTTCATGACACTCACTCACATGGTAACCTGTGCTATCCCTGTATTTGTTTCTTGTAATTGCCTCTTTTGTTAAAATTTAGTTGCAGTATGATAAGTTTTTGTCCTTTTTCTTCACCTATCAATACTTGTACAGTTTCATTCTGTCTTTTCAC